TCAGCCCTGGGACCAAAGACAAAAGGCCTGATGTGTCACTGAGCAGCCCTGTCCCGAACCTCCTGCAAAGCTGATGGCATGTCTTACTAGCTACCACGTGCCAGGTAGATAGTGAAAGCTTTACATGTGTTATCTGTCATGTGTCCTCACAATGGCCTTACACGGTGCTATCAGTACCCATTCTATAGGTGAGGGAACTGGGGCTCTGAGAGGCCACACGGCTAGGACGTGCTCAGGTCCATTTGATTCTGAAGTCCATGCCCTGGCCTGCCTCTAGCACCACCTGCCGTGTCCCTTTGGAACCACCCACACAGCGCTGCCCAGAGCAGGCTGAAGACCTCACAGAGAACCTGCCCCGCCCCCCCGGGGGACTCGCTCAGGACCCCGGCCAAGCAGCCACGAAAGCACCTGATTGCTCTGTTATTCGGCACTTATTTTCCAACTTTCTTCATTACAACTTTCTTCATGCTTTTCAAAAACCCAAGGAGCACTGTCTATAACTTCCCCCTGAATACAGAATGAAAAAAAGTCACAAGGCTGATGTAAATTACACAAAGAAAAGGAGGGGCTAAGGATTTGCTTAAAAAGCTCTTAGGATACCCAAAAGAGAATACAACAGAATAAAGGAAAAGAGTGAAAATAAAGCCACAAAGGAATTCCTGGGAGCCAGTGGTAGCAATGGCACAGATGCTGAGAAACAGGCCTATGGCCCCATTTAGCCCCACTGTCTCTTTCCCTCGCCTGTGCCCTGACAGAGGGCACCTAAACATAAAGCTAGGGATGGGGGGCATCCTATATTTAAAGAAAGAGAGAGAATGGAATGAAACTACAGAAACATAACCAGAAATTATGCCCTACTGAGCACCAATACAAGCTAAATTAAGCCTGCATAGGCCATTGTTTAAATATGCAATTATTCTTCTCGATGAGGAAAGTCACAATATGGGACCGAAGAGGATCTACTCCCCCCGACTCCAGGGCTCCAGCCTGCACATGCACATTCCCCCAAGCAAGGAATGGGGCGGCTATCCGTACTCCCTGGTCCCTCTGCTACATGGTCTAGGCCCTCAGGGCACACCCTCCATGTCCCTCACCCCTCCACCATCCCCAAACCCACCCACCTCATCCCCGAGCACCACCGTGGTTCCCATGTCTCCTTCACACTGTCCCAATCCCTCCCAGTCAGTCTCTCTCCTTCCAGTCCAACCCCCACAGTGCCACCCAAAGACACATCCTGAAGAACACACCCTGTCACTCCCCTTCTCCAAAACCCCCGGTGGAGCACTCCTTACGCGTGGCCTCCCAAAATCTGGTTCAGCTTCTCTCATCGAACTCATCTCTTGCGGCCCTTACCACACGTCCTGCATTTTAGTAACACTCTGAACTTGGAGGTTAAGTTCATGAACTTTAGGATCAGACAGTCTGGGTTCAAATTCTGGCTCCGCTACTTGTCATTTGTGGGACCTTGAGCAAGTTTCTTAACGTCCATCTCAGAGTTTGCTGCACATCTGTCAGCGGGGCCACTAATAGTATTTCCTGCCCAGAATCACTGTGAGGGTTAAGTAACGCTCCTGAACCACTCAGCACAGTGCCTGGCACTCACTGTGTGCTTACTAACTGTTCATTGTTATTGTTAATAACATCTCTGAAATGTGCTTTTCAATACCTCTTTGTCCCACTACCTTAAATTCTTTACCTACCTCAAGAATTCCACTTTATCCTTAAAGATCCAGTGCCTATGTTAGCTCCTCCATGCTGCCCACACTCCTGTAATGGGGTCACATCATACTGTGCTATAACCATCTGTGTAACAATGTGACGGAAAAGCATAGGGCAGGTTTGAGCACAAACAATCCTGGTTTGTGCCCTGGCTGGGTAGCTCAGTTGGTTAGAGCATCATCCCAATACACCAAGGTTGCAGGTTTGATCTCTGGTCAGGGCACATACAAGAAACAACCAATGAATAAATAAATACATGGAACAACAAATTGATACCCCCTCCCTTTCTCTCCCTTCCTCTCTCTCTCTAAAACCAATAAAAATTCTTTTTAAAAGAAAGAAAAAGCCTGGGCTGGTGTGGCTAAGTGGATTGAGCACCGGCCGGCTTGTGAACCAAAGGGTCGCCAGTTCAATTCCCAGTCAGGACACATGCCTGGATTGCAAACCAGGTCCCCAGAAGGGGGTGCACGAGAGGCAACCAGACATTAATGTTCCTCTCCCTCTCTCCCTCCCTTCCCCTCTGTCTAAAGATAAATAATTAAATATTTTTAAAAAATAAAACAAAATACAAACAAATAAACCTGGCTTAGGAGCCTACCTCTTCCATTTACTAGCTATGCGATCCTGAGCAACTTGCTTGGGACTTCTGCCTCCTGCTCTGTGTCCTGGAGAACAGAAAATGCGCCTCATGTGGAGAGGGGTTGTAAAGACCAAGAAAGAGAACCTAAGTAAAGTGCCTAGCACAGGGGTTGGTACACATTAGGTGCCTGAACAAACATCTTACCCTTTCCTACTCTACCTGGCCATGTTCCTTGCAGACTGTAACTTTCTGGAGTGTAGAACTCACATTGCATTAGATACCCCTCCACAGTTAACAGTGCTCAGAACATAACAAAAACCCAATAAATGTGTTGATTGATTCCCTCTTACCAGAAAGGAAACGAAAGCCAGGAGGAAAGTGACTATCCTGAAGTCACAAAGCCAGTGAGTGGCAGAGCCACGTCTCAAACTCAGGTTCTTTGGGTCTGAATCCTCAGCTTTTTCTATCACACCTTGCTATCTCAAGGCTAAGGTGTCAAGTTATATCTGACAGCCCAAACTGCCCTGGGCCATTACTGGTTTCAAATACACATGGGGAGCTATTCTAGCCAAAGCAAATCAGAAAAACTGTGCAAAAGGCAAACATGTTTGTCTCAGACTGAAGCAACCAGCAACCTAAACTGAATCACTGCTCATGTTAGAGCGCTCTGTGCCAATGGCCTCCCGCACACCGGCCACAGCACATCGCGCTGGTTTGAGGGCAAAAGAAGAGGACTACTATTTGTATGCCTACCAGGTGTCAAACACTGGGGGAGGGACTTCACAGGGATGACCTCATCTACAACCCTGCTCCTCCCACATTGCAGAGAGAAAAAAACTGAGGCTCAAGGATACACAGAACTAGGTGAGAGCCACAGCTGGGCTTTGTACCCACATCTCGGCCTTCCTAACTCAAGCTCTTTCTACACACACCCAGGGCGTGTGTGAGAGGACCCTTGAGCTGAAAGCTCCTGGTTTATCCTTTTCTTCTCCCCACCTCCACCCAGCCTCTTTGCTGGTCCCCATATACCCAAGCATTCTTTCAGGCTGCCCACATGGGCCACACCATCTGCCCCTCTATGTATCCAAGTCTCACTGAAGAGGGCTTCCTTGACCACACTATGGTTCCTCCTATTTACCTTCATGACACTCTTCACTACCCAAATTATAGTTGCTTCTGTTTGTATTCCCCCACGGAAGGTAAGCTCTATAAGAGCAGGGAGTTTATCTAGCTGTATCTCTAGTAAAGTGCCTGACATACAGTAGGAACCCATGAGCACATGTGTTAAAATACTAATCGCTGAGCACCAACAAGGTGCTAGGTGCCACAGATGCAGAAAAAAACAAGACAGCCCCTGACCCCATAGAACTTGCACTTAACAAGCGGAGATAACAAAAACCACTTATTCAACTATAACTAAATGCTAAAAGTGGAATTCAGGTCCTGGAGACTGGCTCATGGGGTCCCTCATCCAGCCAAGGGTCAGAGAAGTTTTCTTAAGAGAGGGACATTTAATCTGAGGTCGGGAGGAAGAGGAGGATCTGGCTGGAGGAAGGTGAACATGGAGGGGTGGTGAAGGCAGAGAGAGCAGCCCGCAACCCACATGCAGGCCTAAGGGAGGGAGGGACTGCCATGCCCACAGGAGCCCCCAGAGGCAGGGAGGGAGAGCAAGAGCAAAGAGGATACTGTCTAGGAAGGTGAGGTCAGATTCAGAAGGGTCTGGTAGGTGGTGAGGAGTTCAAATTAGTCCTACAGCCCATCAACTGACAGATAAATACAACAGGGTACCTTCATACAATGGAATATTATTTTATAATTGAAAAGAAATGATACACGCTACAACATGGGTGAACCTTGAAAACGTTACACTAAGTGAAAGAAGCGAGTCACAAAGTACCAAATGTATGATTCCATTTATGAGAAATGTGCGGAGTAGGCAAATCCATAGACCCAAAATAGCTTAGTGCTTACTGGGGCTGGAAGGGATGGGAGATTGTGATGGTGACAACTAAAGGGGGGGTTTCTTTGGGGGGAGGGTAATGAAAATGTTCTAAAGTTGATTATAGTGCTGGATGATGCTCAAATGTGTGAACGGACCAAAAGACATTCAATTGTGCACTTTAAATGGGTGAATTGTATGCTATGCAAAAGCAAACGAAATAAAAGATTAGTCTTAAGAGCTAAGGGATCTCAGCCACTGAGTGATTTGATCTGTTATTCAGAAGCATACATCAAAATGTGAAGGTTACTCCGGGTAAGCTCGCTCACGAGGTGCTCCAGGCAGATGGACCATGCAGGAGCCATATCTTGTTAAAAAGGGGAAATCGAGGCCGACCACCGAGTGTGCGCCAGACAATGAATATTTTACTAGTGGGCCTGGCAGCCGAGCATCGCGGAGACGCCTGGAGATCCCTGGGCTCCCTGTGGCACCCCCATAGACCTGGGTCTTCTCCGCAGCTCCGAGCCGCCCGGGAGAGGCCTGCTACAGGCCTGGAGCATCCGAGAATAGCGCTCGGGGGAACCCAGCTCTCCAGAGACACGGAAGAAGGCCAGGGGTTGGACGAATCGCTAGGCCTTCCACGGGCCACGCAGAGCCGAGGACGCCCGAGGCTTCACATCCCCAGCCCGCCCGTCACCCTGCGAGACCGAGCCCTGCACACCCACCCGTGCCCCCGCCCTCCGCCGAAGCAGCGCGGCTCACCCGCCTCCACTGGGAAACGTCAACCCCGGACGCGGCGGACGCGAGGCCACAAGTGCGCCTGCGTCTCCGGATCAGCTCAGCACCGCCCCCGCCTGGTCACTGTGCGCCGAGCGCCCTCTGTCGGCCGCGCGAGGAACTCGGGGTCTGTTTATAGGGGAACGAAATACGCCGTTTCTAGTGGGTGCCCCTTCCCTAATCGGACCCTATCCAGTTGAAAAAGAAAGCTGTTCCACTGACAGCCTTCTTACGCTAGCACCCACGCTTCCTTCTGGCTGTTGCTACCTCGGACATAAGCCTTGAAGGCAGGCTGTCCCCCATATTCCCGAATATGGATTGCTGCTAAAATACTGGGAGTGTTCAAGATCTGTGAAAAAGCTTGCTAGAGGACTTTCCTAAAACACTAGTATTGATGACAGGAATTATATTTGGATGGGAATCTGCATTTTGAGTCATTTCATCAACTCACAGTCTTATAACACCTGTCAAAAGAATAAATATGACAGTAATAGGCATGCTTCCTTTCAGACCCATCCTATAATTATAATTGAGGAAAAGAATACAAAATTTAAACTCAGAGCTACTGCCACTATCATTCGTTGAAAATGAAATATGCTGTTTTATTAAATAGGCTCTCCCCGCTGTCTAATGTTTAAGCTTAAGTGCTTCTCTGAATTGATTTAAATACAAGTTTTATATCCTGAAAGAAATAAAGATGAGTCTTTATCTTCAGACAAACCCCCTGTTCAATGCTGCTGCTGGTGTTCTCTCAGCTGATGTCTAAGAGGGAGTTAGGTTGTTAGTGGATAATATTGCTTCTGTTCACGTCTCTCCTCTCTAAGGCTTTTTAAACCTATTTGTAATGAAAAGGCTGATTTCCTTACACAGACAGACTCCGTGAGTAGCTGATTTAGCAAGACAACTTTTTTTCTTTCTTCTTTTTTTCAGGGAAAATATTGCTCCCCAGCGCACCTGGGAATCTATTTTTCTCCTTTTGGGATAAGAGAAGCAGGCAGGGAAAGGGGGAGTTAGGCTTTCCTCCCTTTTGTTTTTCCCTCACTCCCTGTAGAGTTTTCTCTCCCTTCACCTGACACACTAGCCTTCCTCCACATCAGGTGGGGGTTCTGCTGCTGAAACATTCAGATCATTGCCTCAACCCTTGAATTTATTTTCAATATGTATTTTCCATATGGACCAAATATATCTGAAAGATATGATTGAACTTTCATAACAAGCCCTCTTATTTACACATGCATATTCAGGGGCACATCATTAGTGCAGATTCAATCAATAAATCATTAAGCTTTTAAAGTCCTTACTAGGAACCATCTGCAGTATCAACATCCATTTCTGTTTTCAGCATTAGAATCACTTAATATTTTGAAAAAATGTCACAGTTCATTCTTTGGCCTCATTTCCCTTTTGTTCCCAGATTGCTGTGTTCCTGCAGCAGAAACATTGTTCTAACACAACTGTTTTCAACCTTTTTTATCTCATGGCACACATAAACTAATTACTAAAATTCTGCAACACACCAAAAAATACATTACCTTTTTTGCTGATCTGGCAGAAAAAAAATAGATATAATTTTGATTCATTCGCTGGACAGCTATTGTGGCTGTTGTCTCTCTTTTCTTTCTTTCTTTTTTGACCATCTAAGGCAAAAGAGGTCAGTGCCCCTGACTTAATAGTCAGTTATTACATGTTTTAAAAATTTAGGCCTGGCTGGCATAGCTCAGTGGATTGAGCACGAGCTGTGAACCAAAGTGTTGCAGGTTCGATTCCCAGTCAGGGTACATTCCTGGGTTGCAGGCCATGACCCCCAGCAACCGCACATTGATGTTTCTCTCTCTCTCTCTCTCCCCCTCCTTTCCCTCTCTAAAAATAAATAAATAAATAAATACATACATAAATACATAAATAAATAAATAAATAAATAAAACCTTTAAAAAAAATTCTTGCCACACACTGGTTGAAAATCGCTCTTCTAACACCTAGATTTCATAAAATATTCAAGATGCAACCTGTTCACTTTACCTCAGAAAGACTCCACCTTCACATCCCATGTGCCTCTTTGTCTTTACAAACATGCAAGAATTTACCTGTCTCAAAAATTCTTTATAAACATCTAAACACCAAGGAAAAAAATAACCCAAAATAGGATAGGCTTGAACAACAATTACCAGTTTTTGTCCAAGTCATAAGGGAAACCTAGGTATTTTAAATGATTGGATTATAATATTTTGAACTTAACATCAGCCTTAGATTCTTACAGCTTCAGTAGTAAAACTAAAGAATTCTTACCAGTATTAACATTCACTAAAATGGTACCTGGCCAAAATCCAATAAAAACCCAGCCATTCTCTCTATGTTATTTTCTTTTACACTGAAATGTTAGCAGATGAACCCCCTCGTGTCAGACAATACAAGATATTTCCCAATAAGTGGAACTGAAAGACTTTTTGCTGGAGATATCTGCCATCCAAGTTAGCTGTCCAGGGGACATGTTGTCACAGGAGAGTTAATCGGCTTCATGATGAGTACACCACCTTCTCATGATTTCTGACATTATGTCATTTAACCCGACAACTGCAGGTTTGTCACCAATAGTTGTAGGAAAAGATACAAGTCCTGATGCTCTTCCAGTTTCAACCTGCTTTCATATGTCAAAGAGAAATGATACATTTGCATCCTCTGATTAAATCAGGTTATTGTCTCACAGGTTGACCATGTAAATAATTCAAATTAATTCATCAGTATACAATAGATTTAATAAGCATACTAAACACTTCGAAGACAACATTTAGGACCCTCTGTCTGCCCTTGCTCTCACTCCCATTATCTCAGATTTCCCTGTGAACAGAATAAGTGGTACCACGTTGTTCTTCTATTCAAAATATGCAAAGTTGCTATTTACCAGTTTGCAATTTGCATGTCTCCAATCCTGCCAGAACATGGGGTGAGGGGCTTGGGGTGACTGGTGCAAGTGTCAAAAGGGGACGCCAGAGTGAAAATGGAAAACCCAGTGCACAGATCTTCTCCACCCCAGGGTGCTGCAAAGTACAACCCTCACCAACTACAGAAGATTTATTTTTAAGAAAATGAAAACATTGGGTCTAAAAGGTCATGTGAACTCTTAGATATCTAGTGTCTTGTTTCTTTAATTGCTGGTTTGAAGAAGGGGATGAGCAAGAATTTCAAGGTTTTTCTATAAAGGAGTACAAGAGGGAAAAGGGTACAATTGTGACTATTCACAATATATTCTTGGAGAGCAATTTACAGCCTGGGTTCCTTGTGTTACTTTCTGCAGCTCCATAAATCTTAACTTGCTGACTGGTAAATATCATACCACATTTCTTGGTGTGTTCTGTGGTAATATGTCTACAGCGGCCACATGTGAGACCACACTGATGATCACATGTATAAATATGAGCTTTCACTTTTTCATCTCTTGCAAATATGCTCAATGTCTCATGATTTCAGATGATAAATAATATGCACACATTTTTTTGAACAAATCACCTCTGAAATGGAATTGTTTACCTGATAAAAAGAAGCAAATGCAAGACTGTGTATATGGTGATACTATCAAAGAAGCAAATGTGCCTGGAATATTTTTTTTTTGGCATTTTGATAGCATTGAACTAAAGATGCATTTTAAAATTATGTTGTTCACAAGGTGTAATTCTGTTTCCTCTGACTACATCTGCAGTCTTAAGATAGCCACAGGTAAGAATTAATGCCACCGATAATAGAAATAGAGACTGTATGGAACAATGAACTTTATTAAACAGGGATGCTTGGAGAAAGAGGAGAGAGAGAGGTATGGGGGAGGGGGAGAAAAAGAGAGAGAAAAGGAGGGGAGTGGAAAATGAGAAAATGGGAAGGAAGACATCCTTTTGGTTCTCTCCCACACAGAAAGGCCTGATAAACTTAAGGGAAGCAGTCCAGAGCAAAAGGGCATCATTAATTAAAGGAAACCATTACTCATTTTCACCAGGAAATGAGGTGTCTGGTCAATCAAATATGCAGCTAGGAACTCATCAAACATTTGTGGAGACTCCTCCAAGTGCAAGCCTCCATGCAAAGCCCTGGGTGATAGCAGAGGCCCCTGGACTCCCTCTGTCCCATTCCCACTCTCCCGCCCTTCTCCACTTTTTGTTAGAGGCAGATCTGATCTTGTCACTCTCTTGAGCCCCCTAAATTGGCTTCTTGGTGTTCTCTGAATCGATACCCTCAACTCCTTATCCACATCCTACAAGACCCTGCAGGGTCTGGTCTCTCAGGCTTCACTCCACGTCCCTGGTCCCCTGCTGCAGCCAAACTGTCCATGAAGACCCTCAGATGCCCCCATGTTCCTTCCACCTGCCCCTCCCCACAGACAGGAGCCTGTATGTTTCTCCATGGCACACATCACCATGTGCAGTTCCTGTATCCGCATTAACTCAGGATCCCTCAGAGAACTGTAAAGCAAGGATTTGAGTGCAGGTAGTTTATTTGGTAGTTGATGCTAGAAAACACCCAGGAAGGGAACTGAGACAGGGAAAGAAGGCAGCCCATGAGAGATTCTTGCCCATCAAGTTGCCACCATGAGCAACTGCACTTCATCCTGCAGGGGGCGCAATATGCAATATACACCAGTTATCCCAGCCTAGGGTCATGAGAGCTGGGGTATTTATTCACCAATTCCTGTTAGTTACTGGCTGAACGTTGCTGTCTGGGGTCCTCTCCTCCCCACCCTGGTACTGACTCTGCCCTTCCATACTCTCAGGGAAAGAGATGCAGAGGCTGGCAGTTGTTAAGTTAGCCGAGTGTATACAATGGTAAGCCTCAAGGCACTATGGAGGTGGTTCTGGTAGTTACATACATGTGTACATTTATTGTGTATTTATTCTTGCATGTTTAACTTCAGTCACCATCAAAGTACTCTCCATTTGATGTAGTACACCTATTGAGACCTTTTCCCACGGCTCAAAAGAGTTTTTGAACTCATCGATTTTGATGCCTTTTAGCACTTCTGCTATTTTTTTGTTCCACCTCTTCCATATCGGTAAAACGTTTCCCTGTGAGGACTTTTTTCAT